TCTTGATTGTATTAGAAACTAGAAAAACCATGCTCTAATCAATAATCACACTACCATGGTTTATTTAAATTAGATCATTTGTTTCTCTGACATGAAACCAATCACTCTAGTCGCTACTAATTTAAAATAATTAAACAATTACGGATTTAATTGTCCTAACTGGCATTAGTTTGTTAGGTTGAATTAAATATCCGGTCCTGATATTCAAATAATAAAACAACCATGAGAAATTAAATCAGAAAACATACAAATACTAACGAATAAAAGAAACTAATAAAATAATTAGATCTCATAGTTGTAGCTGAACCAAGTCCTTCGTTACCCCTTGACTAAAAAAAGAATTTAGCTGCGCATCATCGGGAATAATCCAAGCAATTTCATTGACAAAAATTGCATGAACATTCGATAATAAAAAAGCAAATGAAAAGAAAAGACGAAGAGAAAAGCTCTTCGTTTGTGGTATTGCTGTCGAGACTAGCAGTTTTATTCCCAAGAGCAAAAACGTTCCTTTTCCTCTCCCCTTTTCGTTGCTACTTACTAATATATATAACAAGGAAAAAAGAGTCCTACTTCTTATAGGAAAATAGCACCTAATTCCTAACTAGTTTATGCTGCCAAAAGCCAAGGACTGGAATCTACATCCGCTGGCTAAGATACAATTAGAAATCAAATGGGAATAGGAAACTTCTTTATCAGCTGGAATCCTGCATTTCTGGACTTGGGTACTTAACTCAGGCGCGCCCATGTTAAACTGGTTCATAGTCTTCTGGAAATTTGCCTCATTTTTACCACTTTTTGATCCACTTTTCTACAATTAATACCAATAACCAAATATGAGTAGAATCTACCAATTAATGCAACATTTGATCAAAATCAAGGGAAAATATTCATAAATTTCATAGCAATTATGCACCTCATTAGTTCAAAAGTTTGAGAAAAGAGTCATGTCAAGAGAAGGAATAGAAATAGATGTTGAAGAGGAAAAATTTAGCCACGGTTAAGAGGCAGCAACAATCATTAGCTAAAGGACGGGTGTAAAAAAAAGGAATTATAATCACTTCTATCAAATAATGTTTTCAGAATGATTCAAATGTTCATTTAAGTCCCTCCCTAACTACTCAAAACTTAGTTCTTCAATGGAATTGAATAGAATTTTTCAGTGGAATCTAATAGAATCGCTAAATGGAAGGGAACCAAAGTTGCTTGATTGGGACTATATTGACACTTCTTTGAAGGGATTAAATTAAATTCCTTGCCAATTGTTAGGGCCAAAATGACATTAATTATAAAACATGGCACTTAGGTTTAACTGTATTTTGCACTACTCAACTATTTTAAGATCACACCTTACATCCTCAATTTTTAATTGCAGCAATTACCTTTAACTTCTAATTTTTTGCATAATTTTAAACTATATTGACACTGGTGGAAAACAATAGTCCTATGACTATGAACCCTCATTTTCATAGTTAACTTTCAAAAATACCCCACAGGATTCAAGATTATAGAAAAACCTATCCGTTCTCCCCCTCTCTTTAACATCTATTAGAATTACCCCATATCTTCATATCTCTTAGAAGCTCATAATAACTAGACTCCTTTTCAAAGAAAACCACAAAAGAAAAGAGAAGTGATTGGACTAATAGCCACTAATCTTAAGAGGATCCAAGATCGATTCGAGGGCTAGAGTATGCATCTGACTTGACTAGGGGTTGGAGATCTAATAAGGTGCTACTACGATCAAAGAAGGAAAGTTGGATGGTGATCCTAGAAGAAGATGTGATACCCTGAATGTTAGGGGTTTGTTTTTAAAAAAGGTACTAAGGTTATTTCTTTGGATGTGATTTAAAAACAAGAAAGACTAGAAACCCGAGCAGTGTGGTTGCATGACTCAAATTTGTATAGATTATGGTTGTGAGGATGCGGACAACTTGTGGAGGTTGCATGGTGGCTCCGGCCAGCCACACTTCTTGGTTTCATAGGTTGTTTATGCTCAGTTAGGTTGGTTGGTGCATCATGGTGCAATGGTGGTTGGAATTGTGGTGCATGTGTAGTTTTGTTGCAAAACCTAAGTGTGGGTTGATGTAACCTAGCTTTAGGTAGTGTATGGTAGCTACATTGATCGTATTGCATGTGTTTTGGTTGTTTATAAAAGTGTTTGAAGTCACAAATGTGACTTAAGTTTGGTTAGGGCATTTTGGTCGTATCTAATCTATTTTGGGTCAAAACATGAAAGTTATAGCCCTATGTGAGAGCTTTCTAAAACAGCAAAAATCACCCCAAACGGATTTGTGTGCACCGAGTTATGGCCATTGAAAGTCAGACTGTCGGACATTTTGTCCTCAGTTCTGACAAGGCAAATTCTGAAACTGTCATTTGCATTTTTGATCAAGCCAAAGTGTAAACTGAGTTGAACGGTTTTCATAAAAGTTGTAGAGTTTTGTTTTAGTTTCGAAATGCCACCTTGTGCATCTTAGTCCGATAACCATAGCTCCAGTTATTGCTATTTGAAATTAGATCTGACATGGGACTGACCATGACTGATTTGCTACTGTAATTTGCATTTTGTTCTAGATACCTTCTGATCTGGGTTAAACGGTCTTCATAAACCTTGTACTTCTTTGTCTTAGTTTCGAAATAGTATCTCATACACCTTAAACCGATGATCACAGCTTCTGTTATAATTAAAATTGTAAAAGTTGTAGCATTTTGTTTTAGCTTCGAAACGCCACCTTGTGCATCTTAGTCCGATAACCATAGCTCCAGTTATTGCAATTTGAAATAAGATCTGACATGGGACTGACCATGACTGATTCGCTACTGTAATTTGCATTTTGTTCTAGATACCTTCTGATCTAGGTTAAACAGTCTTCATAAACCCTGTAGTTCTTTGTCTAAGTTTCGAAATGGTATCTCGTACACCTTAAACCAATGACCACAGCTTCTGTTATAATTAAAATCATAAAAGGTGTCAAAACTGTGAAATGTCCGTTTGCGCCTTTGGCTGCGAACACGTGACCGTTTTCATTTTCGTGCACGCGCACGTGCATTTCTCAACCGTTTTTGCCGTTTTGGACCGTTTAGGACTATTTTTGTTATTTTGTTACTATTCCAGCTGTTTCGGCCGATTTCGACATTCTTTTGGCCTTAATGTCGTTTTTGACCGTTTTCGATCGTTTAAGTTATAAACTGTTATTGTATGGCCGTTTTACTTATGTGTGTATATAATCTGTTAATGCAGACTGTGAGCCTTTTGGCAGTGACGGTCAAGTTTAGTGAATTGTATCGTTTTTCGTGCCAAACTTTATCAAGTGAGTACTTGGGTTATTTATTGATATAAAATTGTTAAAATGCTTTGTATATGTTAAATGGGTACTTAGGCGAGAGTATACTTTATCTCACTCGAGTTAAGCCCATCCTTTGCTTTGATTTCATACGTGAGAATAAATGCCTTATGTTGCGTATCACCCTTTTGCTGAGTGTTGATGGGAGTGATTACATGACTTGAATTGAACCCCTATTGTTGTGTGCTGTTTGGAGTAAGTACTTTGTTGAGAGATATTATCTATTGAGAGATTGGATATCTCAGGACTTGGTTCCAATCCAGTTCTAAGGGTAGACGAACTATTCGAGCTAGCCGGGGTTTGATCGAAATTAGTTCCCTGCTAATCTTGGGATTTCGTTCTTTGTTAAAGTTTTGATTAAAGCTAAGTAATTTTGTTTCGCTCGAGCTGCTATGTGCTGTTGACTGGCCAGCGGGGGTTGATAAGGTGAACGGGGAAAGTAAGTGGAGTCTACGGACCATGAGTACTTTGGTTGACGGAGTGTCAATAGGCATTCAAGCTCGGGAAATTGAACTGGTTTTGGAGCCACCCGTATCCTACCATTGTGATGTTACATTTCTGTATTGATGTGAAATATTTGAATTTATATGTTTATTTGAATGTGCTTTTACATTTTTACCTCCAATTATTCACTAAGCATATATCTTACCCCGTTCCATTTTTTTTCTTTAGCAGGAGGCCGACGCGGGGATCGCTCGGGAAGGTGTATAGACTTTTGGTTATAGAATAGTTGACTTTGTACCTGTTATAAGTTGACTAGTGCGATGTATGTGTATGTTGTGGTGGTTGTAGTTATCAGCTTTTCTAGGGTTTACTTTTTAGCACTAGTGATGTGTATGGCTTGATGTAAAAGTTTATCTACCTTTTGAAGAAGTAATGGTGTATATAGAACTTTCTTTTAGCGTGAAATTTATTTTATCGTTTTTGGAGTCGAGTTCTGGTGCAAGTTAGGCAGACGTCCCGCCGATACCTTCGGGTTCGCCCTTGGGAGAAGTGGGGACGTCACAAAAGAGATAATAGTGATGATGGTGGTAGTTAGTGGGATTTTGAGGTGGAGGAGATTGGTGAAAATCATGGTGGAAATGGTGATTTCTTAAGGTTTTTTGAGGGTGAAGTCCAACAAGGTGAAATCCATTCTCTATTCTTTTACAAGTTCAAAGGGACTCCAAGGTCTAACTGTAAATTTTTTTAACATGTTTCAAACTTATTTTAATTATAGAATTCCTTTTGGATGTATGGTGACCAAGCAAATCAAAGACCAAATCTCATGTACATGGATTACAATGTTATAGGAATTTTGTGCAAGCTATATTGTTGCTCTTCCAGTTTCTTTGGGGAAGCATTTTGTCAGGGTTGGTTTTGAGTTGATTGTCATTTCCTCTTTAACTCTGATAAGAACGTGATTTTGGGACAAAAACACCAAGGGATGAATAGGGTTTTCTCATGAATCAATAATGACTGAAATCTGTTTCTAATTGACAGAATTGGGTGAATTGTACTGCAAAAACTTTTTAAGTTAAAGATCGTTTAGTGCTGCAATTGAAAGTTGAGGGAGCAACGTGCAATGTTAGAATAGCTGAAGGCTAGAAACTGCAGCTAACCCATTAAAAAAAGGAAAATGAAAAAAAAAAACACGTAAGGCTTCTAATTCTAACGGACCTACATACAACAATTTTGAATTTTTTTTTTTGGGTAGGTTATACAACAATTTTGATTTGTCGAAACTCAGTAGACAAATCCTCACTTCATCAATAATGGAGTCCTCTTCATCTTCTCTATCTTCCTCAGCTTCTCTATTCCCACCATTCTCTCCCTCCCTTTGGGGCTACATCATCTTATACATCCTCCGCCCCTTTCTCGCCATACTCTTTGCCCTCTCTGTATTACTTTTTGGTAACCATTTATCAATTGCACAATCTCCGTTTGCATAAATTCCTCAGAGAAGACATGTTGCTTGAAAAACGTTGATTGATAGTATTTTTCAGTGAGAATTTTGATGGATTTTTTGTTGTGTTTTGGGTAGGGTGGTTTTTGGCGTGGAAGCTGGTGCTTGTTCATGTCCCGTTGGTGCAAGAGATCTTTGGTTTGCGTAAGAAACCGGTCAAGGCCAAACCCGAGAATCGCCGGCGACTCACGAAGTTCTACAACAGCATTGATGCCCGAAATTCAGCTTCTTGATGGTAAAATTTTGATTTAGACAACTTCGATTGAGGTCATGATTTGTGATTATTATGTACTAATTGATTTTTGTGTTAGCACATGAAAATCGTGCACCAATTTACTAAGTCTAGTTAATTGTCATGCCACAATTTTGATTGAATTTCGACCTTTCATTCGTGCAAAGAAGTTCTACCACCATTTTTCTTCTAGTTTTTTAGTAAGAAAGAGAGATATTTTCCTTGTAATGGATTTTAAGGAGGGGGTTGAACTAATATCGTTCAGGTAGACTGGCAAAATTTCAAGAGCGTGTTTGTCGTTGGTTGTGTTTTTCCTAAGATTGTAATTGGTATGAGTTAAGGTGCTCTTTCTGATGGGTATTGCGTGATTTATTTATGGTTTAAAGATTGATCTTTTGTAAGATATTCATCATCGTTAGAAGTTCAAACGCAAATTGTGGGTGATTCTAGAATAATTTCCACTTTTTTGTTTCACAGTGGGCTTCTGGGATACTCCACTGACTGATGATTTTGAGTTCTATCTCACAGATTGCAGCATCCAGGTCATCATTTGCATTGGTAGGTTCTATTAGAAATTAGTGGGAGGAGAATTCTTAATGTTAGGCAAGAGAGTTTTGTCCTATGGTTCTAAATTTTTTTTTTACGTGTAATGACATACAGGGTCCACTTGTGCAACTTGTGCATGAGAAAAAGAAGAGCTTTCTTTGGAAGAGATTGCTGTAGTTTATGGCTTAGAAAGTAAATAAGTTGATAAATACTTGTAAAGGAATATATTAAAGTTGGATAGAAAATTGTTAGAAAATTTAGAAGGAAGGCGATTGATACTGTACCTTTTGATAAGATCTTAGTGCCAGGGGAAGAGCTTTTATCAAGGTTTCTGGCCAAGGTTGCTGAGTTTCGATTCTGGTGAGGAAGTTATCAGGCAAAAGTACTTCTGGGAAGTTTTCTCCATTGTATGCTTGATTCTATAAGAAATTTTAGCAGGTCTTCAATTGAAGGAGCAATGAAATTATGGGAGCTTCTACAGTACATTTTAGGTATCATACCCCAACTTTTTAATTAATCAGACGATATTTAGGAACATTATTGGTTGTTAGATTTGATAAAGTACAATAACAGGATGATGTAGACTAAAGCATATAATCCTCATAATTGTAAACTGGTTCCAGTCCAGGTTTCCTGTTCCTTTGAGTTTGAACTTGGGCAATCTCCTCCATCGTATATCCCAGAGTGTCACTGTGATTATCTTCTGCTCTCTTTTAATCCTTGTTCAGATGTTGTAATTAACCAAAATTTGTTTTCATGTGAAGTTTCTCAATCCCATTGTCTTGTTTCCTCTTTCCTTCTTAGTATTCTACTGGTGTATTGATATGTATTGATTCACTCCTCTAGTTTTAGTTTTTAGTTTGGGATTTGGTACTGTGATCCCCATTTTTTTTTCCATTTGTGTACTTCATTCTGTTTTGATCTCATGTTGTAATTTGAATTTGTTGATAGTTTTGTAAGTTTTGTATGCCAATTGTTTGAATTGTAAGGCATGTAATTTGTCCACTGATTGAATAATTAGTGGTTGTACCATTTTCCATTAATGATTTGAAAAATGAAAGATCATTTCAGTTTTGGGTTAAATTCTTAGTCAATTCAGTTTGATATTCTTGTTTTTCTGACAACTAAGATTTGACATTGCTGAATTATCTGTTTTCAAGTAACAGGAGTGTATTTGATCACATGCTATTGATTTGTTCATCAACCTTTTTTTTTTTTGGTTGTTATTGCTTGCCCTTTAGCTCCTTTTCTTCCTTTGCTGCCTAGCCAACCAATCTTTCTCTCTGAGATGTCCTTGTTAGAACAGTATCTTACAATTTATCTTTGATGCAAATGATGAGCTCAATATGCCGGTAGAGGGGCTTAAATAAGAATTAGCTTAGTAGTCAACTTGGAATTAACAGCTTATTTAAGTTTTAGACTTCATGTGATTGATACGCATAAATTTTCTTTCGGGCCGACGACCCTTTTTTTTTGTTTGGGGGGGGGGGGTTGGTTTATATCCCGACTTAGTAGTTCCAATGCTTTGGTGCTGGAGTCAGACTGAGTGATATACAGTGGTGGCATATTTGATTTTGGGTTTGTGATGTTTTGAGGCTAAGGCAATTGTTTGTGAATGCGGGGAGAATAGCGTGGTTATTTTTCCACTTGTTTATAGCATACTGTTGTATGCAATAATAGAGTGATTTTTTTTTGGCTTACATTCTGATCGATTTTAATTGCGTATATGCAATTTTCTATTGGATCAGAAACTTAATTATGTATCCTTGTTCACTATTGAATCTTCAGTGTTTTGGTGTTTACAAAGAGTCGTTACCTCAATTTATACAAGCAAATTTCATTACTTTGGTTAGCGCTGAAAAAACTGCCATTTATTCATCATAACAAGTTGGATTAGCTGAAATTTGTTTCCTCCCTCCTCTCCTTGAGTAAAACTACTGGCTTTTATTCTTATTATATTTTCTTTCCACTTGGATGCATATCGTTTTTGTCTTGTATTCTTGATTTCTATCCAAGTATGACTTTCTGACTGTTTATGGTTGTCGATCAAACGATCAAACATGTTCAACCCTATTTGTGTGATTTTTGCAGGTTCTTATGCAAGATTATAGCAGTGAAATGTATTCATGAACAGAACTGTTGATTGTGGACTTCCATTGTTCCTCTCATTGAATTGATCATTGACTCCGACAACTAATGTTAGTTTGATGAGTGCCATTAGGAAGGTGATTTCTTTGTGCTGTAAAAATTTCAACAGTGGCTTTGGATCATCCTTACTTCAGCGTTGTTTTAATGCAGATTTATCCATAGAACTATTATGGTGATACTCTGTCCGAGTGGTACCCATGTTAATTGTAAAATTGTAGGCCCAATGCTCAATGTTGTGTTCCATTTAAACTCACATATTCTTCGAATTTTTAATTAGCCCCTTCTGTCCGCAGCTACAATGTAATTGCTCATGTTTCTGCAATGAATTTCTTTCTAGTATTTGGATTTTATCTTAAGCTTTCCTGCTGTGGTCCTTTTGCTTTTCATGCATGATGTGATTTTGTTTGTTAGTTGGTAATTTTTTACACTTGTAACCTGTGATACACCGAACGTTAGGAGATTGTTTTTAAAAGAAGATACCGAAGTTTTTTTCTTTGAGTTTGATTTAAAACTTTAATTTGTTTTAAAGGGACTAAAAACCCTAAATTCTAATAAAAAACCCTAGTTTACTTGTGACTAACCGATTTTCTTAAATTTCTCATATGTTAATCGAAACCCTAATTGTAATCAATGGAATTGTAAAATCCCTCACAGTTTTCTTAAAATTCCTTTTATTTGGCATTTATTTCTTTCTAATAGCTTTACTACTCATTCACATCCTCAGTAATTGCAATCAACAATAGAATCAAGGGTTTTCCCTTTAGATTCTTAGTTCGGATAAATTAGGGTTTTTTGCGTATTTTGACCGTGTGATCACTTGGTGAGATGGGTGTACTAAATTCGGTGATTAAGGGTGAATTTAGAGGATATTAAGTGTGTGAATAGAGGTGATAATAATAAGTTAGTGAATTAGAAAATAAAACTCCAGTATACGCGATTTAAGGAAAATCGATTCGAACCGACGGGTATCGTTCGTTACCGATTGGCTACCGATTGAACACCATTTGACCACCATTTTATCAAGTTAATCTCATTGTTATTAGAGCCTAAATATCAACCCTAAATCTGATCATTATGGCCGCAATTGTTGACTTCAAGAACCAAGAGAAAAGAAAAAAAATTGAGATGGAAATTGGTGGTGACAAGTGGCATCAATCCATGCACCTTTGACCCAAACTAAAACCAAGCCTTATAACCTTTCTTGGCCTTTATTCTTTTCCATTTTTCCAGCCTCCTAACTGTGAGCCTTGAAAGAAAAACAAGAGAAAGAAAGCTCTCAATCCATCTTGGATTTAACTTGATTGAGTGAGAAAACAAGAAAACTAAACCGATTAACTTGCAAATTGAGAGTCTGGGAAGCTTAGGGAGCTAAATTTCACAAGGAGAGGTGAAGGATATCCCTTGTAAGCTTATTATTGAAGTATATTAGCTGTCCATCATCTTTAGTTCCTTTATTCTTGCTTAAGTTGCTATACAATTCATATTTTTGGTTGAGTGATAGCTATGCAAGTAATTGTGATGATTTTTGGAGAATTGGTAAGTTATGGTTTTATATTGTTCAGCCATATTTCTTTTTGTTTAGATGGAATATGCTGTGAATAAATGTAGACAAAGAGGTGAAGTGGTGTTTCAAGATAGAATTGTGAAAATTAGCACTTGTATTCATGAATTCCAGTTTTTGATTTTGTAATTTTCCTGTTCTAACCGGTTCTGTTTGACCATGAGGGATGCCGAATTAGGTTTAGCACAAAATATGAAAGTTGTAGAGAATGATATTTTATAACTGTCTGCGAAATTTCAGCTTAATTCGAGCACTGTAGCTTGTGAAATAATAAAAATACCCCTGACTGCCATAGGTAGAGGTTCAAGGACAGTTTTGACATTTCACCAATCTGACCGTGTCTGTTCACCCTGATCCATACTGAAGTAGCATTTGGTCAAAACATAGAAGTTGTAGTGCTATGTCGTACCTTTCCAACGCCCCTGAAAACGCCTCAATCGGACTTTGGTAGCTTGAGTTATTGTCGTTTACGCATAGTGCGGTTAACTAGCCTGATTGTGAGATTCTGGTTCTGTAATTGAAAATTTTGATCTGGATACACTACGAACTTGATTGAGTGGTCTTCATCAAAGTTATAGCCCATTATCTTAGTTTCGAAGCAGTATAAATTGCACCCAATCTGATAAGCGTAGCTTCGGTTGTGTCCAATATGCTAAGCGACGTCAAATCTGTCTTTTATTTTATGACTGAAACTTTATTTTCGGACATTTTCCTAACTGGATTTTGTATTTGTACGACATTGAGCCTATTGAACGGTTATTGAAATGAGATTTTTGTGTGTGTGACTTTGGGACTGATTGAGAAAAAGAATGAAGCCATAAATGGTTGGAAACTAGGTAAACACAAGGGGCATGTCGTCCAAATTTTCACTAGAGGTATAAACCGGTCTTTGGAGTTCTGATTTGGTAATCTGCAAATTTGACTTGGATACACTGAAAACTGGGTTGAGGTGTTTTCATGAAAGTTGTAACCCTTTGTCTAAGTTTCGAGACACTACCTAGTGCATTTTGATCCGATAACCACAGTTTTAGTTATGGTTAAAATCATGTAATCCATTTTGTACTATTTTCATTTCCACGCACGCGCGCATGTATTCCTTTGCCGTTTTGCCGCTTTGATCGTTTTAGTCTTTATTTCCATTTGTGATGGTCGATTCACTGATAGTTGAGTATAATCTTTTGTCACAAGCAGTGACGAACCGAATGGAGTCGGTGAACCCGTATAAAGTGCCTTGATTTACAAGCTAACTCTTTTGAGTGAGTTTTTGAGTTGTTTATTGATGTGAAATTATCGAAATGCTTTGCATATGTTAAATGGGTACTTAGGCGAGGGTGTACTTTATCTCACTCGACCTAAACTCATTTTTTATTTTGATTTCATATGTGAGAATACATGCTGTGATGCTCCCACTTCTCCCTAAGACGAACCAAAGGGTATCCGCGGGACGCCTGCCCAGCTCTCGTCAGAACTCACACAAAATCTCATTCAAACTTAATACAATACTAAATTACAACCAGATAAAGTAATTGCAAATAGTGCGGAAGTTTTCAAACTTAACAACACATAACCACTATTCAATCCTTACGATGGGTTTCCAAAATACATCTCGAATATCGAAATCTTTCGTAGCCACAATGCTTGGCCACTAACACTGGGACCCTATTACAAAATATCACAAAAGGGGTTCTTCCATGTCTCAGCTCATGTCCACTCCTGTTAAGGAAAACAAATCTATAGGGTGAGCAAAACGCTCGTGAGGCCAAGAACACACATGCAGGCATGTAGTTCAAGTAACACTCACAAATTAATCAATTTCAAACAATAACCATTCAATAAAGAACACTTTACTGAAAAGTAAACAGAAATAATTCAAAAATATGGGAGTTCTCAGGAGCTATTTTCCACTTGCACAATCACGAACCTCCACGCGTTGACACTCCGTCAACCGGGTAGGTTTAATACGTAGAAACGCCACTTACACTTCCTTTTCTCAACCTTACATGCCGCACCGGACCCACAATACATTTATGAGGCGATACTTCAGCGAGTATGCCAAGCAAGACCTCTCAATATGTCGAGCTTATAAAATCTCATGGTTCACTGAGGAATTCGACCAATCCCATGTTGGCTCGAGTCCAAGGCTAGCCAATAAGAGAGTTTGGGCGTCCCCCACTTTTACACTTTTGTATCGAGGAGGTTCACTCCAACGACTTATGCAATCACAGCATAAATAATTACTTAAACACTGCACATATATTCACTTAACAAGTTACTTAAACAAGTAAGCACTTCACTTCACTAACTCAAGTTCACTTCGTTTAAATGAGGACGAGTGCGATAAAGTACACACTCGACTCAAAGGTTTCAAAATTTCAATTTATATAACACTTATCACTTTGCAGATATATCACATAATACACACACTTGACACTCACTATGGGTCTATAGCAAAAGTGTCACTTGGAGGTTCAAGCTTCCACCGTGGGATCCTCTTGAAGGTCCTCGTATGCGCCTGGGCAAATAATAGTGAATTATTGTTCACACATCCCAATTATCAAGGAAGATTGTGCACTAATACAGTTTAGGAAAATTTCATGATAATGAATCTCAATTACTCGTAAATAAAGATTCAAGTGGAGTTTCTTAAAGTACAAGAGCAATCGAGTCTTTTTATCTTGGAAATCAAGCATAAACGTTCAAGTACTATCGAAGGAATAAGGAATATTTGAAAAAACTCCATTTCCTTGAAATTTGAAAAATTTCAGTTTTGATACGATATTTTGAAAAATCGTATCTCACATTCCACATGTCAAAAATTGGAAAACTTGGCACAGTTGGAAACATCTTCCAAAGTACTAAAAGTTCCTAGAATACACTTTTCTAAGATTCCAAATGGAAAACATTAAAAAATAAGCTCAAAGTCGTTGTTTTGGTTCATAAGGTATATTTAAGTTGGGTTTTGGCCAATTTGAAAATTCGGCAAAATTCACTTGATTGGAACTAGCTCTTAAAATTTGGAACTCTATTAGAGTCACAATCCAAGTTTACAACAAAACAAGCAGAATGAGAAACGGAGTTTTAAACACTATGATATGGCAACTCAAAGTTACCAAAATTTCTTTGTGAAACAAGGGTTTTCCAAACTCGAGTCATGAACTTTGGTAATTTAGTCGAGCAGCGAAATGGACTCGGATTGGTACCAAATTCGGCAATACAATACTCCTATATAAAGGGTATCTCTCTATTAAATTTCATGAAAAAATACCTTCAGGAAGGTAGTCAACCAAACAACCAAAGTTTCGAAAAATTCTAAGGCAAAACTGCCTTAAGTTTTTTGTTTTCCATTCCAAACATTTGACAAAGAAAAATCCTTCAATCATGGTTCATTTGTGTAGGAAAAGCCTAAGGAACATTCATGGTACATTTGGTAAGTGTTTCAACTCCATGAAATTCAATTGGCAAGTCCACATCAAGTCTAGCATCAATTCTGCCCAAAATTTAGGGTTTTCAAGAACAGTGCAGGTTTCGTATTTTGATCACAAATCACTCAATTCAACTCGGAATTGAGCATTGTTGGTGGTGTTGGAAAATAAATTCATAAAACTATAATTTCACAGAGAAATCGTTTTTGAAATTCAGTACACAACTAGCTCAAATTCGAGCCTCAAGTTGTAGCTTCTGAACTTCGTTCCAGGAAAATAGAGAAACAGGACAGTCATCATTAAACGGTTGGTACGGAATACTCGGGTGGAATTTGGGGTTGTATTTTATACCGTTGGAAATCTGGGA